AACTACATTTACAAACAAACAACAACAAAAATGCAGATTTTCACTTTCATTTCAGCCAAAATTCAGCTACATTTCACGTTGTTAAATTCCAGATTTATAATTGTCTAATCTCTTTTTGGTCACATGAAAAAAATTAATGAATAAATCCAGAAGTTTGCATGTCTAATTAAAATGTAAACAGTGTAATGAGGACATCAGTGATTTAGGCAAACGTCTCTTTGGCTGCCACAGGGGGTATGATAATTACAGAGGCAAATCTATGAATGCACATGAATCTCCTACAAGTCCAGATTAAAAGCCTTAGTGCTAAACCTAGTTTAAGTACACCTGGGGATTGTCTATTCTAGCCAATCCCCAACAGACTCCGAGCTGCCTCGTCTTCTTATGAGTGCAGAGACACCTCGTGTGACGGAGATGAAGCAAACCCTGCCTGCCCCCCAGTTTCAACGCACTGAAAATGAGAAGAACGAGGAGTTTGAGGCAACAAATGCAGCACTTTGGGGTAAATATGCCTGCAAATGGCCTGGATAAAAGCAGCCCAGCGACACACTTTAAGTGTTGCTATCATAATCAGTGAAGCCTATAGGCTCTATAGGCAAAATTAAGTTTTATGACTTGGACATTATTAGATTGGTACCACTTTACAATAAGGCTCCCCTTATAGATGGCTAATAAGTAATTTATACATTATTAATTCCTTTATAAACACTTTATAAATCATTAATAACTGCTTATTATGCATGAATTAAGGGTGAAAGACAGACAAAAGAGACCAGTTTCTTGGCAAATACCATAGTGAACCAAATCTGATTTCATCTAGAGTTGTTATATTAAACATTTTAGACTAAGTTACTACCTTGTAAGTACAATGAGCATTTGTAAACCTATTTCTTTAGCATATATTATTGTAATTTATCACTGCATGCAACTGATATCATATCCTAAAAAAATAGGTTTACAAATGCTTATTGTGCTTAGTAACTTAGTCTGAAATGTTTAATATAACAACTCTAGATGAAATACATAGGTGAACAGATGTGGCTCAATATTTGGCAAGAAACTGCTCAGTCTCTCTGTCACCATTAATTAATGCATAATAAACAATTATTAATGATTTATAGTCTTTATAGAGGAATTAAGAATATACTTATATTAGCCATCTATAAGGGGAGCCTTATTGTAAAGTGGTACCATAATATCTATGTGAAGAATTAGATTATTTTTAAAAACAAGAAAGTCTTGAAAGTGACTGTTTTAACTGACAGGAGGGGAAAATGAATGCATAATTTTATTATACAGTGTATTTAAAACACACAAAATGTTGCATACAACCTAAATAATCTAACGATACATTTGAAACATATTTACTTGTAAGTTTTTAGTTAGAATTTGAAGAAATAAATTACTTGATGGGTAAATAGGAGGGTAAACAAGCCGCTGATAGTAGACACATGCGTTTTAAAAAATATCTATGCCATAGGCTGTCACTCAGAGAGGAAAAAACCAAGTCTGAGCAGACAGTCACTGTGTCTAAATGAGATGGTAGGAGGAGGAGGAGGAGGAGGAAGGGGGGAAGAAAAAGGGAGGATGTCAAGGATTCATGGTCCTTCATCTTCGCAGTAGAGCAAACACGTCCCTCAGTATAGCAACAGACAGCTGCCTCCACCTTCTAATGCAGTCCAACTTAAATCACTGCTCGAATTGTCAGTGCAGAGAGAAACACACAAAGATAACATAGCAAGCTGCCATGAGGGAAACGACAGAGATGTGGAAACAAGGAAGGGAGAGACGAACTGAGACAAAGAGAGGAGAGGGAGGGGGATCACGTTAAAAGACCAGGGTTTTTTTTTTTTTTTTTTTGGTCCATTTTGCTCAAAACTGACTCCTGTGGGAAGCCCTTTTGTTTTTGATGGACACTGCTCAACATATTTGTTAAAGATTAAAATCCTGCTCTGATCTGGTTTAATACAGACAAGAAGTTAGATGTGGATTAACTGTCATCAATGTAGAGACGTCCCAGAATCAGAGCAGATAAATCTGAATGATGGCTTTAATTGTCATCATTAGTGTATATGGGGTGTATACAACCCCTCCCTTAAAGGAATGCTTTAAATTGTGCTGTCAGTTTTACTGATCATTGCTGCTACACTCTGGATTATAGACAGAACACTTAGAGGAGCTAAATTGCCAAGCGAGGGCACATCAAGCTATTAAGCCACAGCTTTATCTAAGACGCACATCCTTGAAGATTTCTGCTTCCTGCGTGCTTGGGTGTGAATAAGTGACCCAACAATAAATATTCCTAACAGCTGCATCTGCGAACGCTACGTTAATGAAAACCTATGATGCACACAGCCAGCACGAGTGGGAAAGAAGAAGACACTGTATATTTTCTAGTTTGTCTGGTTGTATAACAAGGTAATGAGGAGAAAAAAATGGTTTGACTCTTTTGGAAGTGACACAACTAAATATAACAAGGATGTGTTTACTTTTTTTTTTTGTGAACACAGCTTCCTTTTAATTTTTCACGATCACACATTGCAACATATTTGGCACACAGTGAAACGCGTGATGAAAACAAGCGAGTGTGCTATCCAAATTTTGTTCACAGATTTACGTCGCGCTTGGATTGTTATAGGCTCCGTGCAATCAGAAGTACACATCGCTGCCAGCCTCTTTCCATGCACATCTGAGGTGTCCGGGGTTAAGTAAGGATCTGCAAGAATCGCCTAACACGCTGCAGGAGCTTGAACTGAATGTATCCTCACACAGTTCTTAATAATTGTTTGCATTCAAAGATGCAGAAAAACGGTGTGATAAATACAAGAAGTTTTCTTTAGCGATGCAGATAGATTTAATATGATAAACCCACTCCTACTCAGAGTAAATAAATAACTTCCTTTGGGAGTACACGATGTGGAGAAGAAAAACATTATAATACTTTACAAGTCAGGAGTTTATTTAAGTTACTCAGAATAAAAAGTAACATGAAGAGGCTAAACGCAGCATTTAAAATCTGCTATAAATTGCATGGTTTGTTTCCTATAAATTCAAATTTTATCCAGTCGCATGCATGGAAGGCTACAAATATGAAAAAATATTCAACTCTGAGGGACAAATTTAATGCCCACTTAACGAAAACCCACATTACAACCAAACACTTAAACATAATGAGTGTTGTGGTAATGTACTTCATCTTGTTCCTTTTTTTTTTTTCTGCTAACTGAGTGACAGATGCTGGAATGCTGTTTTTTTTTTTTTTTTTTTTTTGAAGAGGAGTGAAAACATACTTCAGCTCGCTGATGATGATGTTAATTTCCTCTCAAAGCAAAACATGCAAATGAACTGTGTGAACACAATTAAGTCAAATCGTTCTACGGAGGTGGAGGAGGTTCACTCGGGACAAAGTGGTTTTCAGGCGAGAGCCAACCTGTTACGTCTCCTGACTTTGTGTCCATTTACTCGCCTGTCACAAATAATTGCCGCTGGAAGAAGAAAAAGGAACTATTTCTGGCGTTCGCTCTGAACTGATGCGTGAGCAGATCTTAATGAGTTCTAACAGCGTGGGAGGAACAACAGAACAAATTCATCCTATACTGCACCTGATGTTTAACAAGTAAACTTTTTATGATCATATGCATTAGAATATTGTTACTTTTTATGTTTATGTTGGCATAATAAACTATATTTGTGCAGCAAATCCTAATAATTGCATAGCTATGAGTGAATATTTATATTTTCCTATTAAGGACTTTTTTTTTTTTAGCTAATGGATGAATGCAAGCCAAATAGTCATTAAAAACTTTGTATCCTTTAGCTGTTTGGGCAGTTGAGTCATATTGTGCATGCAAAATCAGTGCAGTGAGAAAGAAAAGCACACAGATTGTCAAAAAGTACAGAAAGCAAATTAAAACGATGTCAGCGTCATGAACCTTCACAGGATTCTCTGTGTGAAATTAATCACACACTAATATCTTTGAGCCATGATTGTTAAAATAAAGAACTTTAGAACGTGAATCATGCACACACACCACTCACACACACACATATAGAAAGAGACAAACATGCTGCACTGACAGCCTTATAACAATTATGACAAATAGGAATAAAGAAAATACACAAACACAACAGTGAATATAGAATTAGAAATAAAACATAGGCCTACCATAAATACTGGTGCTAGAGATCATGTCTTCAAGCCTAAAGACAAAAAAAAAAGGAGAAGGGAAAACAGCAAAAGCGGATTTTTCACGAGGAGGAATTCCAAAGGTTGCTTCTCATTACAGCCACTTTTTTCCTGCAGCTATCGGATTTCACAACTTCAGAAACCACACGCACGCGCCCCCTTGTCCTGTCCTCAGGTAGACTCATTTAGGCCATTTAATTAACCGCTGAAAAAAATTAATATTAGATTAAAAAATATATAATAATAAACCAGAAGCAATGGACGGTGCCGCGGAAGCCTTTGCAGCAGGCTGTCACTTGTGCGCGCGAGCTGGAGAGCAGGAAGCATGTGAGGCTGGAGATGACAGAAAACACACATTCTTCATGCCGCCCATTAGAGGAAGAGGCTAAAGCAGCGTGAAGCCCCCCCTCCCTCAACGTTTAAAATAGATTACTTGCCAGCAGTTGTCCCACTAAGAACGCAATGACAACCCATCTATCTATCCACCCCCCCCCCCCCCCCCCCCCCCCTGCCGGAAAGTTTTCCTGAAAAAAAAAAAAAAAAAACTTCTCCATGCGACAAAGTTATTCAGTTAAAAAAAAAGTGCGTCCATCTCCAGAGCCCCCCGTTAAATTTTTTGAATTATTAGAAGCAAGTCCAAAAATAGAATAAGATAAAATACAAAAAAAACCCGCAGAAGTGTCCACAGGCGGACTGCGCTGCAGCCCCTGTGATGCGCGAGCTGCTTCTCTTTAATTGTTCGCATCACTGATAGACAGGAGGAAAAAACAAAAACAGGGGAGCTGGGGGGGGGGGGGGGGGGGGCGCGCTTTACCTGTGTAGGTGACAGGGCAGCGTCAGGGTTTATGGCACCATCGATCCGGTGAGTGCGGAGATGAATGGCTCAAGCGTGGCTCACCGTTTGAAAGCATTCCAAGTTAGTGAGGGGAAAGACTGACCACAGCCTCTGCCATGTTGGAATTCCAAAGCCTGGACAGCTGCTCCACTGACTGGAGGCAGCGCGCCGCGCACTGCGCATGCTCACTCCGCTCAGAGCCAAATTCAAAGCAACAATCCGCCCTAATGAGCTCGAGCGGGGAAAGAATGTGTCAAGAGTTTATCTTGCAGGAAACTTGACGTAAAATCTGTGGTGATCAACTTCATATAGAAGAAATGTGGAAATAGACATTTCTTCGTTTTTGCTAACTCACACATAAGCCTGCTCTGTAAAAGATTATCTAATTTAATTATTGGCTTTGCGTTGGCTAATCAAAAATAGAGCAATAGAGAAATTGGTTTGCTTATAAGTAAAGGGTGGTTCTGATATTCTGGAGTGGTGTTCTGTAGGAGAAAATATTAGTAAATAGTATCTTACCTGTTGTAGATAGCTCTTCTCTTTGGATAAACTGAGGAGAAATGGATATAATTTTGACCAGTCTTATGGAAAAGTTTCTCAATGCAAAGTCATGAATCACAGACAAACAAAACCTATAAATAT